CAGGTTCATTAATAAAATGATAGTTAAAGGTAAATACTAATATTTATCGTGAATTAATGTTTACATTCAAATATCATCTCAATCTGAATAAAATCATCATCTAAGGTTTAAATCCCAAGTGGGGTGAGTTTAAAAACTTCATCAAGTTTACTCAACTTCATTGATGATTAAACATGATTCATTAACTGTGAGTGTACAAAATCAACTATCTCCTCTAGTAGTTAATTTATATACTAAAGTTGTTTCAATTCAATCTAATTGAATCATGTACCATGAAACTGAAAAGTTGAAAGGTTATAATCAGAGTGCCATTAAATACAATCAAAGATAAAGTAAACAATGAGAAAAGAAACAGAAATTATGAAATTTCAATTGGATTAAGAACCCTTATGATAATATACATTTCGCAGTTTTCGTTGATCAAATCGTCATCGAATCAAGAAAATGAAGGACGTTTCGAGTTACTAAACCAACAACCAGATCAGCTAAGTAAATTCAGATGATTCTAATGGGGAAGTTAATTGTGACATTAAACTTTACAATAGTTATTTAAAGATCATTTGACTAGTTAGCATGTTAGTTTTTCTACTTCTACCCAATCAAGTTAAGTGTTAATGGTTTGTTTTCATATTCGTTACGATATCTTTTATCAGTTTCACGATATTAGATTTGATCTGGAAGATTAATTCAGTCCGCTCACATTCATTAAAAGCTATCAACAACAATCAATCAGTTATCACAATTTAAAAGATTGTCTGGTTATTTATCGGAAATGAATTTTCAGCTCCTTGCAAGTTATACTTTTTTCTTGTTCGTTATTATTTTATGGATTCAGTTTCAGCTAATACAATCAGCGACATACCAACTTATTCAAAAAATAATAGTGTTCCAAGTGCAGTCCTTCAAATTATAAATAAAGCTCATGATGGATATCAAATCTTAGTTGAAACATTGAAAGAAATGAATTCTTGGATTATCAATATTATTCAATCTTGTTTAGATGGTAACATCGATTTTGATTCGATCCTTCAATTTCATCAACGATTGGTAAAGCAACTCACTCACTAAACACTCTAACGAATAGTATAATAAGTAAAGTCTTTCAAACCATAGCTGATAGCATTGAGGGTGATGGTGATGTGGCGAATACTCAAGAAACGGGTAATGATAATATGCGAAATGCATTTAAAGAAAGCACAGGCAGATTTGACGAGAATTTCATCGAAACTGTTCGCGATATGGCCGCTGTTGCTTATAATAATGACATGGAGGATAAGAAAAATGACTCTGATAGTGATGGCGATAATGAAATTGAGAGATTGAAAATTTCCTGAAAATCTCCCAAAAATTTTCCCAATGACTATTCAGTGTATTGTGTATTTATTAAATAAATACATATCATAATTATGATATGCAATCAAATAATTGTAATAAACAGTGGCTTACAACTTGCATAAATGAATTGACTAGAAACTATTGCTTGCAATTGAGTTGATATTCTAATAGTTAAGTGGGGTGAGTTTAAAAACTTCATCAAGTTTACTCAGCTTCATTGATGATTAAACATGATTCATTAACTGTGAGTATACAAAATCAACTATCTCCTCTAGTAGTTCATTTATATACTAAAGTTGTTTCAATTCAATCTAATTGAATCATGTACCATGAAACTGGAAAGTTGAAAGGTTATAATCAGAGTGCAATTAAATACAATCAAAGATAAAATAAACAATGAGAAAAGAAATAGAAATTATGAAATTTCAATTGGATTAAGAACCCTTATGATAATATACATTTCGCAGTTTTCGTTGATCAAATCGTCATCGAATCAAGAAAATGAAGGACGTTTCGAGTTACTAAACCAACAACCAGATCAGCTAAGTAAATTCAGATGATTCTAATGGGGAAGTTAATTGTGACATTAAACTTAATAGTTATTTAAAGATCATTTGACTAGTTAGCATGTTAGTTTTTCTACTTCTACCCAATAAAATTAGGTGTTAGTGTTTTGTTAATTCAATAAGATATCTCTATCAGTGCCACGACATTAAAGTTGATTTACAAGATTAATCCAGTCTAAATACATTCAGTAAACGAAACTACCAACAACAATCAAGCTGTAATCACAGTTTAAAAAGATTATCTGGTTAATTCTCGACAATGAATTTTCACCGTTTTCTAAGTTTTACTTTTTTCTTGTTCGTTATTATTTTCATGGATTCAGTTTCCACTGATATATTCAGCGAAATACGAAATTATTCAAAAAACAATAGTGTTCCAAGTACAGAGCTTCAATTTATTCATAATTTTGTTGAAATATTAAAAAAAAAGAATTCGACTTTCAATCTTGAGAGTAATGATGTGACTCTTGGGTTAGACACGGCTATACAAGCCTTTGCGGCTGCATTAGAAAACCGCATAGGCAGTGATGACGAGAATTTCGTCGAAACTATGTACGATACAGTTATAGTAATGTATAACTCTGAAGTGGTTGAAGCAATTGTCGATAGTGATAAAAATGGTGAGACAAATGAATCATAAGAGAAGAGAATGCCGTTTGTTACACTTATTATAACCAAACTCGAAAAATTGGACATTTCGAAAATCTCCCAAAATTTTCCCAATGACTATGTAGTGTTTTTAATTATTATGTATTTTTATGATTCGAGATCAAATAATTGAAATAAACAATTACATGAATGGTTAAATGTATTGACTAGAAGCTATTGATAACAATTGAGTTGGATATTCTAATAGGTAAGTGAACATTTTAAGGTTTTTATCGAGTTACGAACCATCGGCTTTTACTGTTCTTTATTCTTTCCATGAACTTGACCATTACCATGTCCATGTTTTTTTTCATGTTCATGATGATGATTGAAAACAAACAAGGAAAGAGAATGGAAAAAGTTAAAGAAAAGTTTTCCGACCTTGAATACAAATTGAATAGCATTGTTATCATGAGGAAATCTGAATTTGCTTTCAAGTTTTCAAAGGCAAATTCAGGATAATCTTAAAGCAAATCATGACGCTGATTCTGATGCTAAAAAATATAAAAAGCAATCTAAATGTCCACTGGGAAGTTATCAATAATGTTTTCATATCCGATTCCGGGATAATGTGATCTAAAATAGAGCGAGAGAGAGACGAAAGGTTTTCATCTTTTTCTATCAGATTTCACTCATGATAATATATAAAAATCATGTTAATACGATCCAAATGATTGGCAAAAATTTTTCATCATGAAATCAGCTTGAAAACTCACAGCATGGGAATGAGGATTCATGAAAGATTGCCGATAACAAGAGGAATACTTGATAACAGGTAAATTGTATTCCTATCATGGTGATGAGATTTTTGTTTATCCATTTTCATGATTGATCTCAATCATCACCAGAGCATTTCAGTTCATAAATATATAACGATGACGATGTATCATCACCATTATCATCATCATGGAGAACGAGAAAGAGATAATATCTTTCTCTTTCTTTTGCTCTTTCTATTTTTTTCTTTGAAATCGTTTTATTCAAAAAATTATTCAGATTTTATTCAGATTTCACTTTATTTACCTTAAGGTAAATGATATTATACTTTGTTCAAATCCAAGTCATAGTGATATCATTATTATTGAATATATCATCATCCAGGTAACTTGAACAGGTAATATAATGTAAAGTAATGAGATGATGATAAACTGAAATACTAAGTAAAAGTTGAAAATATAAATCATCATGTTGACCCTTTGAAACTTTATTTCATGATAATCAGTTTGAATATCATCAGATTGATGGATATATTTTCATTATCATAATCAAAATCATGATGATATTTATATAAGTCAAAGGTGAGATTGTACCATGAAAATGTTTCCAAATTATCAATTTACTTTATTAACAATTCAAGATCAATCAATTTGTATCAATACCTGTTGACTGATTGTTAATCTCACAAGTATTAGCAATGTTAATTAGCATCAACAATTAACTCATTTAACTTAATTGATTGTCTACAATTGCTAATCAATTATTACGATTTGTTTGTGTAAATTAATCATTAATCAAATTACCAAAGGGAAGTTAATTGTTTCTTATGAAAATGTTCAGAATTTGTTATCATATTGTATCCATTTGGATGGTAAAAGTTTTCAGATCAATCATGAAAAAGTGATGATAAATTTGATGAAGATGATGATTGGGATGAAAAGGATTCTATTACTTTTAGCCTTTAGGAATGATTATTATTATTATCATTATTATTTTCTTCCAGGTATTATTACAATTGAGAGAGAACTTGATTTCTAACAGGTATTTGTTGTGTTTCCTTTTCCTTTTTTTTATATTTCTTTTCTCATCATTATCATTATTTTTCAGAACTTTTTTTTTCAATTTTCTTTTCTCTATTATATAATTTGTCTTCAGAACTTTTGATGTAACGAAAAATTTATATTTACGAATTGAACAACAGTTCGAGTTACAGATTATAATGGCTTTATTACCTTTCAGTAATTGATTGTCTCTCGAATTGACACTTTGAAACGGATTAACTTTTAGATTCTATGAGTTAATAATAAGTCAATTTGTATGAAATTTTGATAAAAATCATCATGACTATTATAAGAAAAAGGGATTAAATTCAATTCTAATTGTTATCTTTAATCTGTATTATTATTAGAATTGGGGAAAAAAACTTTCACTCTAAAAGTTGCAGTTTATTTCAGGATCATGAAACTTTTTCCTCTGCCCTGAAGTTTTAATTATCGATAGATAATCGTTGACATTAAGATTGGAGATAATCTCTTTGTAGTATTAGGATTTTATCTAATCTCTAAGGGAAAACGAGTTGGTCAAAGTCTGATGGACACTTGAGTTTATCATTAACCAAGAGACATCATGATAACAATAATATACAAGGAGATGGAAAGTTCTGATGATAAACAATGAGCGATAATAATCAAAAGGTAAATTCGGGAGAGATAATCACTGAACTGAGAGACTTACCTTTGATTAGAGTTAATCGTTCAGTGAATATCACCTATCAAGTTTCAATGAAGCCTTTGGAATCTGTTGAATCCTGAAAATTTCCAGGTAACCAAATATAAAGTCAATTGTCACAACACAATTAATTTTTCAATTGAAATAACAGATCGGGAAGTGTTCGTGTCAGGTGATAACAATGAAGATCAACTAATATTAAAAATCGCGTTCAAAGTTAACGTATTTTTGATCAACTAACTGAATGAAAGATTGCTAATAATGAGATGAGAAGATGATGATTGGTATAGAGACGCAGCAGCAGCAGCTCGAAATGTTCACAATGAACAGATTCGAAAGAAGATTTTGCTTTTTTCTCTATCTATCACTCTGAACTTTAATTCGTTGTTATGATTAACCGTTAGAGAGAAAGTTTCTTGTTCTCGTGATTTCAATTACAAATTTCGAATGATCAACTTCGGGTGTTCTTGGTCTATGGGTTGGGATTTGTTGGTTGTTTCTTTTGGTTGGAATTGAGAGAGAGAGATAAAACTTTAAGTTCTATTAACTCTGAGAATGGAGCGAATTGAATTTAGATAAGTTCTGAATCTCATCTTCATGCGCAGAGTTTTTCGTTAGACTGAACAATAGGTTCCGATTGTTTTTTATTTCTTATCAGAGGTTTTTTATTATTCTTTTTTTCTTTAGAAAATGAAAATGATTCTTTGTTGTTATTTCTCTCATTCTCATGTTTCACTCATTTCCTTTTCTAAACCACTCCCTCTGAATTCACCATGAAACTTGAACAGTTCATTTTTCTCACCTCCTACACACTGGGAGAGAGAGAGAGAGAGATAAAAACTTTAAGTTCTATTAACTCTGAGAATGGAGCGAATTGAATTTAGATAAGTTCTGAATCTCATCTTCATGCGCAGAGTTTTTCGTTAGACTGAACAATAGGTTCCGATTGTTTTTTATTTCTTATCAGAGGTTTTTTATTATTCTTTTTTTCTTTAGAAAATGAAAATGATTCTTTGTTGTTATTTCTCTCATTCTCATGTTTCACTCATTTCCTTTTCTAAACCACTCCCTCTGAATTCACCATGAAACTTGAACAGTTCATTTTTCTCACCTCCTACACACTGGGAGAGAGAGAGAGAGATAAAGTGTGTCCCCACCTTATATTCACCTTTCTCTCAGGTTGAGATTATCTAATTCTTGAATTGCTGAGAGTTGAAGATCTCAAGATTTATCATCTTCTCTCATCCTATTATTTTCCCACATAGACTGATGCTGATTCTCATTTAACTGTCAAAATAAATTCTGAATGATTTTGATTGTCTGTGAATACAAATACGAGTAAACTTCAATTCTAATTACAATCCATGGACGTAAATAGTTACGCAGTTATCATGAAATTTACAAATAAGCACAAAAAATTATCTAATATTGATTTAATTGAGAAAATAAATCAACTTCAATAATAACAATTAGCCTGGAAAAAGTTTATCAATGAAAACTAATCAATAGTATAAATAGATTACCACCAAGTAGATGTTAATTATCTCACCTCTTAACTAACTTACAACTTAATTTAACTTTCACCTCTAACAATTAACTCACCTATTTTTCCCTAATCAATTAACACAAATTAATAGATTACAATTAATCTTAAACAACTCAGAATATCTTAAAATTGGTTGTTACAATCAATAGACTTGCGATTAAATTAACTCTTGCCCTTAAATCATGATAACTAAAGGAAAGGAGAAAAACAAAGTTTCAATTTGATTGATTGACCAGCGGTCAGTTGATATATTTTTACCTTTGCTTGTGATGGAATACAAAAAATGACCATTTATCATCAAGGTAAGTTACATTTATTGTGTTATATTGGAAAAGGTTGATCATTTGGACATGACAACGATTATTATTGACCATTGGATTTGCTGGACATCATTAAATGTTAGATCGTTTAATCAATGAATTTATCTTATCCATTAAGAATGTTAAAATATTCAAATGCTGAAATGTTTTCCTTCCTGTCGACAAGTTAATAAGGTTAAACTAAATGATACTCAAGTTAATCAACAATTTAATTATCCATTGAGAAAGAAAAACATGAGATTATCTCAAGAAGAAAATTTGAAAGTTTGGAGAGAAAAAAGTTCTTAAAAGAGAAAATTCGTGATTCGAATAAAAATGTTCATGATAATTCAATTTGCAAGATGATGATGATGATGGTTTTGGTGATACTGAAACTTTTTTCTCTCCATGAAAGTTAAAAGTTTACGAGAAAAGTTTATGATGAAAACTTACCGATGGAAATATCAAATTTAACCAAAGCAAATTGCTCATAATTTGTAAAATTTTAAGATGATCCTTATCATGACCATGAAGAATCAAGCAATTCATATAATCATAAACAATATGCATGAGATTCATCATCATGAAAATTATGAAAATTTAACTTGCAAAGTTTTTGATTTCAAACCTTTAACCTTATATTTTATATGTATTAATATATGTGAGTGTAAGTTTGAACAAAGAAAATGTAAAATCAACTCAAGTTAAAACATTATCGTTATTATATTATCATGATTATCATGTTTTAAAAAGACTCTGATGATAATGATCACGATGAAGGGAAAAAAAGTTCCAAATGTTGAGAATTCTGTTGAAAAGTTATCATGAAAAAAGTAAAAAGCAAACAAAGGCCAACTTTGGGTTAATTTTATCCTTGGCAAGGTCACGTTTAAATGATAACATGATTTCACTCCCAGGGAAAATATTAATAACATGATAAGCATCACGAATATTATGAAATGAAGTTCATCGAGGTAAAAAATGACTCATGAATCCGATTACATGTTGATATCGTTTTAATTTCAATCAATTACTGATATTTATCTAATGGTAATCAAAACGATTGTTACATTTTCCAATCACCATGAAAAGATTCATTTCATGATTATGAATTTCAGAGTTTTATACAATTGTAATGTGAACGAAAAAATGTTCAATTCTGGTTTGGATTATTTTCTCATCTTGTTCATCATCCTCTGCTCGCATAGAATCGGGCTCGACCTGGATAAAAGGATTTCCATGAGGTGGGTTGATTTTAAGGTGGAAAAGTTTTGAAATTAATAACAATAAATCTTGATTAATAAGAAAAGGTAAATGTATGTAAAGTATATTATTATTATTATATGGATATAATGTTTTTCTCATTTAGGTCTTGAGCTTTTGCAAGAAAAAGATGAGGCAAAATATTCAACTTGATGCAATTGTTTTTGTTCATTTCTCATGGAAACTTATCAGTTCAGATGGAAGTTCATGATAATTTAAATAATGATAATGTGCAATTTAATATTTAATCTGGTTACAATTCTGGGTTTTCATGGGGAATTGAAAGTGAGAAGAAAAGGAAGATGAGAATCATCATGGAGAGAAAGAATTAAAATAAATTCTAATGAGGAAAATGTTATGAAAATGAACTGTTTCTTTTTTCTTGTTTCCAATGGAAATTTTTCATTTCAATGGTACATAAAACATTTGTTTTGAAATTGATTAGTTGAAATTAATTTGATTAATTTAGAGAATCATTCAAATTTTAATCTGATAATTGAAATTAGATTTTGAATTGATTTATTAACATGGATGGAAAAAGAAATTAAAATCAAATTTATGGAGAATGATAACTGAATGAATGAAAGTACATCTTGAATTGAGATAAATTGTGTGACGATAATTTCTTGTGTTAAAATGATTAAATTTTTGGAAATTTAATTTCTAAAATTTTGAAAATGTTTATTAAAATTCTGAATGATTCTTAATCAATTTGTCAACTAATCGAATTGTTCAGATCAGATTCATGGAAAAGCTCAGAGGGAGAATGTTTGGTGAATATTAACATGGAATTGGATTTGAAATTTTTTTCTTCGATAATTGTTTTTATTGAATATTGAATTGTTTTCTTACCTCGGCGAAGGGCTCGTTTATCTCTCATGGCAAGGAAGGGTCGAGATCTTTTGGTGATAATTTGTTCACTGGGTGAGTTATTGGGGTGGAAAAAAGTTCCAAAAGAATTTGTTCTTTTCATGGTGATGGAGAAAAGGAAAAAGAAACAAGAAGATACAATAAACAAATGAGTTTCTTGTAAACAATTGAATGAAATGAGGTGGAAAATTGTTCTTGTCACATGGAAATTTGTAAAAAAATAAACAAGTTCGAAGTGAGAGAGAGAGAGAAAGAGATGCGGAAAAATGTTCTAATAAATTGGTTTCTAAAAAGTTCTAAGATCAATTGGATTTACGAAGAGATCAACTTGAGATATAACCAAATGACACGAATACAGTTCGAGAGATTTATCTTCTTATTCATCATCTTCTCTTCAATTCAGTTCAAATTGAATTTCTTTTCTCGAATTCTTGATAAATTTCCAAATTCATCTTCATGATAATGGACCAGTTTCCAAGTGCAATCAAATTTAATATAAAGTTTCCGTACTGACCAAAGTGACCCTTTAGGTCAGTTGAATGTTATCGAGATGTTATTACCTTTCAATTCCTGAATAAGGTGAGTTGATTAAAGATGAAAGGGGAAAATATAACAACTTTTTACCCCTCATTCCGGTGAATGCTGCTTTCTTCCGGTAACCATTATCATAATGAGAGGAATACAATTCTGGAAGATGAGGAAACTGATAAACAGGATGATGTTGAAGGTGATAATGATGATGATAAACAGGTAAATCACTTTTACCTTGATCTCTAACAAGGGAGGAAGATTTTTTTTCAGGTAAACTGATTAGCCAATCAATCATTTGATTATCTTCAATTGAATTCAATGGATAGCTATTAGTCCCTTGATTTGTAAATCTATTATTACTATTGTGATTATGATTAATTAATTGTGATCCAGTTGATGAGGGCAATGATAACGGTGATGATGATGATGATGATGATAAAGGTAAGGTTAATCTGGGATAATCCAAAAAATGATTTAATCCAATCCATGGTTTACCATCAGATCCAATTTCATGATCAAAAATCATCTGAATTCATTGGGATTGGAAATTGTAATCAAATTAAATAACTATAACTCAATTTGCTAATTGTTGTAAATGATTAAAATGAAAATTAAACAAGTTGTTTGAATTAATTTACTCAATATTAACAGGATTTACTCTTGATTGTTAACAGTTAATGACTGAATTAAATTCTGTGTGTGGAATTAAATTGTTAATTAATGTAAATTGTTTTCTCCAAGGGTAAAGATTGATTTTTTTTTCTTCTTTTTCAACTTTTCCAATCTGATGAACCCAATTCAAATATAGCACCAACAACAACTGAATTAGTTAATTGTAAGCTCTTATTTTTAACATGAAACAATATCGCCAATGATATTGTTTAAGAAACTAATTGAAAAACTTTGTTTTTCCAGCAATCAAATTAACTTGATTAACCATTTTCAAGGGTAAACAAAAATCTGATTAAAGTTAATCATTATTGTTTCTCGTTTCAAATTTAATTTAAAAGTTTTACTTTTTGATTAGCAACAATTAACTAATCAATTCCCTTTGGTTGCTCTCAATCAAACTGATGTAACTATTGTTTAATCAATTTTGTCAACTCAATCAACTTAATTGGTTTAACTCAACACTTTATTAGTGATATTTTTCAAGTTACAGGTTAATTGTGATTAACTTGTTGTTTGTTGTGCTAATTGCTACTGATTAAAGTTTTTTTTTGATTAACTTTTAATCAAATCAATCATATCATATCAGGTGAGTTTGATGTTGATAAGTTAATCGTTTGGTTGATTATTAAATGTTAACGGTTTCCTTTATTTACTCAACTATTTTTGCTTCAATGAATTTGAATTCATTTGGATTCTGAATGGATTCTGATAACATGATAAAAACTTTCAATTGTTATCAATTCTCACTGAATAGAGAGATGAAACTTTCCATTATCATGATGATTCCTGAGTTTCAGGTGAACTCAGAATTTTCCCTCTCTCCCTATTTATATTATCTCTTGTTACCTGTAAAAATTTTCACTAATCATCAATGAGATTACATATCAACTTATAACATGGAAACTGATATTATATCATGAGCTTAGATTAATCTTAATTTAATTAGTTTAATTATGTTTAGATTTTGTTGTTTAGTTTTTTGGCGACTTACCTGTTGATCAGATGATAATGAAGATCCTATTGATGATAAATCCTCACTGATAATTGAATCCAAGGTTGAAATTAAGATTAATGGTAAAAGGTAAACTGACCGATGGTTAATCAACATGATTTAATTGGTAATCAACTTACACGAGTTAATGATTAACACTAATCGATTGGTAGATTGTGATGGTGATGATGAAAATTGAGACAATCAGGTGAAATTACAGGTAAGAAGTGGAAAAGAAGATGAAGAAAAGAACAAAAAAGAATTTCGAAAACTTTTCTTCTCTTCTATCTTCCTTTTTAAAGTTTTCTCTCTCTCTCTCTATCTTAATACTTTTCAGTGACTTGGAATGAGAAAATCAGTTCGAAAGCTTATTGTTGATTAAATGACAATATAAAGTTTCAAGATCTTCCAAGTTCAATATTATCAATACTCGAGGACTATTATTGTTATTATATTATTGTTGATTAACTGTGATGATGAAAATAATACTGATCATGAGATTGAGTTTGCTCAGGTATAGGGTTTTATTAGATTAGATTTCATATTCGATGGATTCAGGTTAGAACTTTTTAGAACTGTAAAAAAGGATAACAACTGTAAATGATGATGATGAACACAGGTAATCACTTTTGTTACCTGTAAACATTGGCGCATGAATTTCATTCTGTTTGTTCATTATTATCATGAAATCTGAAGAGACAAATCAACAAGATGATAATAAAGATTTTATTCTATTTTATTTCCATTGGAATTTTCATTTTCTCTTCATTAGATTATCAGAACTAATAATTCATCATGAGAATCATCATAATCTTTATAAATAATCAGCTCACTCACTCACTCTCTCTCTCTCTCTCTCTCTCTCTCTCTCTCTCTCTCTCTCTCTCTCACTCTCTCCATCATCTATTCACTGATTAACTGTCCATGGAAACACAATTCAATAATTCAACTTTCATCACGATTCCAGTTACATCATCAGAGATAATCTTACAATTAAGCTGATTGTTAATCGGTATTTCATCCTACCATCGTGGTCATTTTCAAACTGACCATTGGTTTTTTTTTGTTAATCCAGAGAGATTAAGTTTAAAGGTTAAATTATCGTTAAATTTTGTAAATCAATTGGTTGAGTAAAGTTCATTTATCATGTTAATTTAATGATACGAATTGATTGTAATTACTTTTCCCAAGGGAATTGTTATTAATAAATAATATTATTGCTACAACAATTAGTTCCTATCCATTGAATAATTGAATTATTAACAGAATGACAATTTAATAATATCAATCAAAATGATCAAACCATAATTAATCTTAATCATTAATGGACAACAAAAAAAGAGGAAAAACTTTTGACATTTAATTATTAATAAAATTGTAGTTAATTAACAAATCATGATTGTTATATAACATTGATTGTTACAATTATTACAACAATCAATTGCTAAATAAATTATTTAGTTGCTATGATTTTATCGTTTGTATTTTATACCAACATTTTAATTTGATGAAAAAGATCCCAATTTAAACTGGATTAAATCTAATTGTAGGCAAAATCAAACTGGTTACATAAGAATCAGAGTGATTTGTTATTGATTTGGATATTGAACAATCAATTAACTAAATATCAGAGTGAAACTTATTGAATTAAATTGTAATTGGATTGAGAAATTGAATCAATCAGAGTAAATAACGTTTCGATTGTGATTAACTAATACAATTTAAAGTAACTTTATTTCCCAATTGATTTAACTATTATCATGGTAATGATTATCTCATTGATTGTTTACCATTAATTGTAACAATCAAGGTTTTCGTTAATCAAGTTAATCAGATGGAACCAAGTGTTTACTTATCTTAATTAAATTGAGAAAAACTTGAATAAGAAATCAAGTTAAATTGTTGTCATTTAAATTCACTTTAATTGGTAATTGAACAACAACTATTAATTGATTAACACTTTCTCAACGATTGTCAGTCCATTAGTTGAGCTTAATTGTTGGTTTAATTGTTGTAGACAAGTTAAATTGTTTAAGATTCAGTTTATTACGATTAATTATATTATTTTGTTTTCTCATAATAATTTTCATGAGAGTCACGAGGAAGTAAATTCGAACTCTCGAATTTAGAACTTTTCGAATTTTTTTGTTCTAATTTATAATTTACTTTTTCCATCTCTCTAATTACAACTAACTTTTTTGTTAATTTAATTGTTATAAGAAGAAGATAAAGTTTCAATTTTGTTTAATTAATTTCAAGGGATTCTCACTAATTGTGATACAAATTAAGGTAAAAGTTTAATTGTTATTAAACCAATTGGTTAATAATAATAATCAGAAAGAAAATTTAAAATAATTAGACTAATTAACTTGGAAATGTTTAGAATTATCAACTAAATTGATTAAGAAAAGTGTTTAACTAAATCAAAACAAGTCAATTTTTTGCATCAAGTTAATTGTTACAACTTGAATTGGATTTAAATATCAATGATGATCAAAAAGTAAATATAAATCACAATCAAAAAGTTTCCATCATTTAATCATGATAGTGAAATAATTGTGTTGATTTATATTGTTAACAATAAGTAGATTGTTAATAATATGATCGAACTGAATTAGATTAATTTTTCTCATTGTTAACATTTGGAATAAAAAATCTAATGCTAAACTAATGATATTAAATCAACTTGTTGATTAACTAACAATAACTTTTGATTGTTGGAAAAGTATTTATAACAATCAAAAGAGGATTTAATTTTTTTTCTCCTGATAATTTTGTTTACAATTTCACTTTCAATTAATTTCTTGATTGTTGATGATAAAGACGATCAAGAATCAGATTAGTTGATTTTTTTAATTTGATTATTTTGGTTCAATTGATTGTTTGTCAACTTTTTCTTAATGAGAGACTTGATTAATCAATTGTTAATGAAAATGTTTCAAGTTTGGCTGATGAGATTTCAATCATTATTAACTTACTACTCGACTTTTGTTAAATTATTAATTTCGCTAATTAACTGATCGGTCAAATTAAAATGGTTGATTAGCCAGTGGTCAATTATTCATTCAAATGGTCATCTAACTCCTTGGCGATTCAGGTAATGTCAAATTGTGATCAGTGTTTATGTCAAGGCTTAAGATAAGGTTAATGAAGATGACGACTAGGATGATAAGGTCTTTCTCTCTCTCTCTCTCTCTCTCTCTCTCATTTTATCACGATTTATCTTCCTCAATGGAGCCTTGAGAAAAGGGCGCTGAGGGTTGGAAAAATACACCGACATTTTATCCGATTATCGAAGATGATCTTAGTCAATTTTAGCCTCTTACTCCCTCATCCACTTACACCTTCTCACTCTAAACTTGTCATCTCTCTCAATTTCATTCTCATCTTTAAGATCATTTTAGTTCATATTTGTTTCCTAGTTAGTTCATTTCGATCATAATAAGTGGTCACTTTGATTGAATGGTGAATTTCGATCGAGTAGATGTCATCATAATCTCTCCATCAGTTGTCGATATTGTCCAACATCCATTGGTTCTGAATTATCACTTGGTTTTCTCAACGATCCATGAAAATCATCCTCGAATCGCCATCGAATTGTTTGTGTTGTTTAATCCACAAGTTGATCCTGATTTTTTTCGATTTTCAATTATCATCATGGTGGCAAATAAGAGAAACATGATACAATTACTTGGAGCTGGAATCATTTTATCTTCTATTTTTATCCAAAGTAAATATTATTCTTTAGATTTTTTTTTCTCCTCTTTTCAAATAAAGAATTTTATCTTGCTCGTGAAATTATTCCATAAGTACATGATCACATGTTCCAACAGTTTTCTTAACATTGAACTTGATCATTTGTATTTCTCTATTTTATCTCCAATCAAAAGGTTCCTCTTGTTCGGCCATCTCAAAATCTGAACTTCGTAAAGCCGTAATTTTGTACAATCTTCAAACGGATGCACTTCGAGCCAAACTAATGGATAAAATTGATGTTTGTTCACAGCATAATGAAGAAACAGCAGCAAAATCTTTAAAATCATCTCTGGAACTGTTGATTAACCGCCAGGAGACATTTAATACAATATTTTCACAACCATTTTCTTTTGCAATGAAAGACCAACTATTACAAATGGCGACGAAAACATCGATCTCGGTGAAAAACTCAACAAGAAGCTTCAAGTGTTAGCATAATCCAAATACTAATCCAAGTCTTGATTCCGTTCGTGGTCTTGAAAAAAAGGCTAAAATTGGCTTTGGATTGCTTGTTCTCGAAGTGTTGACCATTTGGACTCTCCTTCATTGATTTAAAATTGCCAATGAGTGTATTTAATTTTCCTACATTAGGACTAATCACATGTAATCAAAATTTTCTCTATTAGAACTACCTCAAAATCATATTTGTTTACTTTTCTTTACACCGCATAGACTTGACAATCGTATTATCGTTTTTTGATTGACTTTCCTTTTTTAATTCACGAATTGATGGAACCAGAATTATTTGATTACGACAAAAAAATATAGATGACAGAATAGGGAATGATGATGACAGAATGGACAAAAATTCACACAACTAAGCGATATGAGATGTATCTTCCAGCAATTTCACTGGGCCTGTTAATTTTGACAACCTAAAAGCACAAGGAAAATAAACAATTGGGTAAATATGGATTCACTTAAATGTTGACGGGAATAAGTTGTTATTACCTGTCCTCGTTTGAGCCCATAATAACGGGTGACTGGATCACTGGATACTTACCAGTAGGATCGTCATTGTGAGCAACCAGTACAATTAAATCACTTCTGGCTGGATGTCTTTCACTAAACACAAGCATAAAGAAAATACAAATTAGAAATCAATTCACAAATAGAATAGAAAATAAAACATATTCTACCTTGGACGATCACCGAATTGCTCTTTAAATTGCTCCAATGTTTGGTCAAGTTCGTCTTGAGTAACTAGATAACCTTTATCATGGCAAAGCTAAAAAAGTTTTTTTAAAAAACAAGAGAAAGAATAAAACTAAAAAAATGGAAGGATTAGAAAAGAACAAAATTAAATTGAATTAGAAAAACGAATGTTTCAATCTCGTTTACTTACCTGCATGATTGTTTTACGAATCCTCCATAGATTATATGTATCAGCTTCATCATCCATATCGAAATTAGATTAGTAATTAAAAATTAATCGATAATTAAACCGAAAAGAATCAACAAAGAGATGAGAATTGTTACCACGCTTGATACAAGAAGTAGAGTTGTTCCGAATCGGAACTTCCGATCTGAAAAATTGATCGATCAGATCGATCTTTGAGAAAGAAAAATTGATCGATCTCAACTTTCAGAAAATCGATCACCTGAAAAACAACGTGATTTTCGATAAAAATTCAAAACTCAAAAAACTAATTAATAAATTGATTAAAACTGATTGATAAGTATATTTGCAAGCAAGCAACCCATACTAAGGGATCCCGAGAGGAAACTAATACTAAAGTGAAGGTTTTACTTTTACTTAACACTTTATTTAAATTGTTTTGTTGAGGTTAGTAATTAAACGGTAATTTGTGAATTAAGGTGGGGGAAAAATAGAGGTTAACAGAGGTTGAACAACTTTAGAAAATGTAGAGAGAGTAATTAAAGATTGATTAACAACTTAACAACTAACTTGAAGGACAATTGAATGGCTATTTATATCTTATTATATTTAACCATTTCTTTCCAAAATGTTTCATTATCTTTTCTCTAATTAGAAGTTCTAATGACTTTTTCGAAACTTTCCAATACTTTTCTTTTTGTTCCATCTTGATCTTTGGCTTGATTTGATTCACTCGATTGATTTTTATAAGATTTACAACAATGTAAAAGGGAGATTGTTTGTTGAGGGAAAAAGGTCCTTTTTCCTTCAATTAAACAATTTACAACAATTAGAAAAATAGTTGGGAGAATTTACAATTAAGATGTTGATTAATTGTTGAATTACAATTTGAATTGTTGTTTTCTCTTTAGTGAAAAAGGTCCTTTTTCTCTTTAGATGAACAACAATTGGATTATTAATTTGATTAATTTTGATTAACAATTTAAGATGATGATGTTGATTATTTGAGAAGTTGATGGACAATGAGATGATTTGTTGGGAAAAAGGTCCTTTTTCCTAACAATCAGGCTTTTTCTCACTAATTGTTAAAGGTGAGCTTTAATTAGCTGGTGATGATTAACTATTGATAAGGCACTGAATCACAGGTAAAGAGTTAAATAACACCTTCTCTTTCACTTTAGCTTTTTGTCTTGGGAAAAGGTCCTTTTCTCTTGACAATTTGGCTAATTAACTCTTGATTTAACTTGAGATGATTAAAGGGGTGTTAATTGTTACAATGATTACAATAGTTTAAATTACAATCAAAATCAAAATTTTCTCACAGTTGATTTAATTATTAATTGGCTGACTAATTGTCAGATGAGCTGTACCAGTTGGGGAAAAAGGTCCTTTTTCCCCAGCTGAAAGAAGCTTTTATGGCTAATTGAAATTGATTGAATTATAAATCTAATTGCTAGTTGACCTGTTAGTTCAATTTCTAGTTAAATTTTGATTTTGCTTACAATTAAGAAGATACAATCAATTGAATTTGATATTCACGGGAAAAAGAATTCACTTTGTCTTGAGGAAAAAGGTCCTTTTTCCTCTCGACTATTTGTCTCTTTTAAAGGTGAAACTTTCAATTTGTGGTGATTCAATTCTTAAGGATGAATTAACTTGAACTGAACTGAATTGAGTTCTTTGTTTTTCTTTCACCTTGTCAGGGAGAAAAGGTCCTTTTTACCCTGACAAGGTGACCTTTGATAACCAAAAGGGTCAATTTGAAGTTGGATGTGGTTAACGATGAGACGATGGTTATAGTGATTAACTCTTTTCTTTTGGAAATTATGGTTTCCAATCTCGGTGGGCAAAGTTTCACAGTTTTCTTTACGATGATATTGTAGTTGTTGTGGCGACTCTTTTGGAGATTTCAATCTCTTCACTGGCTCAGTCTTGGTGACAAGGTCCTTGTCTCCTTGACTGAGTTGGTTTCGCTTTCTTTGAATTCAATTTGAATTTGTTGTATCTTGTATTCGATTGATTTTCAATCGTTTTCTTTCTTGGCTTGTCAGGGTGAAAAGGTCCTTTTCTCCCTGACAAGTCAAACAGTTACACACAATTTGATTTCTTATCAGGTTGTTTGGTGAATCTTGTTGCCAATGGTGGAATAGATTTCAAAGGTGAATTGAATTTTAGAGTTCTAAGGTGAAACACTTGTTTCCTCTTCCGAATCAACAAGAGGTGGAACAAGGTCCTTGTTCCTCCTCAAGTTGATCGTAAAGGAAAACAATTAACAAATAAAATGTTGAACATAATTAGATTGTAAAAATTTAAAACAAAAGAACATTCAATTAAAGGGTCAAAAACACAATGGCGACTTCTTTGCTTCCTAATTAACGAGAACAATGTGAGGGAGTTGTCATGGTAACAACTCGAGTTGACGCTGTGAGGGGGCGTTTGAACGCATTTGATTTTCAACGCTTGTTGATTACAGTTGTTTGATTTTTCAAGTTGATTATTGTTTTAATTAATTAATTAATTAATTTTGTGGTTGTTTTGATTGTTTCTTGGGGAAAAAGGTCCTTTTTCCCCTTGAACAATCAATCAACAAAAGCTAATTGTGTTGATCAATTCGATCTCAAGTGTTAATGGAAATTTTGAAGTGAATTTTAAATAGAATTTTAAAATGTAAAAGAATAGAAAATGTTAATATGAGAAGGGAAAGGAAAGAGAAGAGAAAGAATTTATATTTGAATCAATTGGTGATTAATTTGATGATTTGGATATTTGATTGGGGACAAGGTCCTTGTCCCTATCAAATGTCTTCCGTTGTCGAGTTTCCATCCCATGACTCTTTGTATATTCTTTTCTTTTGTAAGTTCTTTTCTTTTCTGGAACATTAGATGAAGCTGATGATTCACTTGTTGTAATTTGTTGATGATGAAGATGATCACTTTCACTTTCATGTTGATTTGATTCATTTTGTTGAATTGTTTCAATTGTTGTTTCAATTGGAATTGATTGTTGATTTAATGTTGATGATGATGATTCAGTTGATTCAGTTAATTGTTGTTCTTGTTGTGGTGGTGATTCCCCTGAGGAAAAAGGTCCTTTTTCCTCTGGTTCATCACCATTGAACACAACAGTTGTTTCACTTTCGTCGTCACTAATTTCGACTTCAGTCTCACTGTCGCACCAGTTTAACACTTTAGGAATTTCTTCCTTCTTTTCATTTGGTGTTGAGGTAGATTGTTGACTCGAGGAACAAGGTCCTTGTTCCTCTTGTTCAACTTTCTCCTCTTTCTCAATTGATTTGATTGATGGAAATTTGTTGAGAATGATGTGATAACATTTAGGTAAAGGTGCGATGATTTTCTTGATTCTTTCATAGTTAAACATTTTGATTTTTCTTGTATATACACAGATTAGTCTCGCAGTTGAATCGAAAGTATCTAACACAATATACTTTCCAGTGAATTTTTCTTTCATGAATGAAGGTCCAGTTGTATAAGGCACAGGCTTAACTCTGGCCAAATCTCCTCGTTGTAATTTAGGAACTTTTTGATTAAGATTTTTCTCATTAGCTGACTGTTGCGATTTCTCATCTAGAGTTGATTTAGCTTCTTTTCGGGCTAGGATGATATCGTTTTCGTTATACAAGGGGGTGATCTGAAATCTATTATGGATGATTGATCGAGGTTCATAATTGAAAAGGAGTTGGAAAGGTGACTTTCCAATATCGTTTTTAATTGAGTTGTTGTAACTGAACATGAGAGTTTGTAGATGAGCATCCCATTCATATGCTCGTTCAGTGTACATTCCCATTCGGGTTTTAATCTCTCGATTTAACCTTTCCACCAACCCATTAGTTTGTGGATGATAAGGACTAGAATTGATTAATTTGATTTGGTTGAGTTCAGCGAATCTCTTAATTTCTATTGAGGTGAAAATTTTACCATTATCTGATTGGAGAATTTTCATTCTTCCAAATTGATTGATTATTGATTCAAGAAAGTTTATAACGTCCTTACTATTTCCCTTTTTAAAAGGTTTTGCCATTCCATATCTTGTGAGAGTATCAGCAGCGACCAATACTACGGTATTACCAGTTGTTGATGGGGTGAACGGGCCAATCATGTCGATTTGGATTCGTTCCATTGGAAAGTCAGCGACTTTCATACCTTTACATTTACCTTCTTTAAACGTCTTTGGTTTAAAGATTTGACATTTTTCACAAGCAGCGACTTTCTGTTCGATGATCTTTTTCATCTCAGGGAACCAGAAATCTTGTTCAATTTTTTGTAGAGTCGGTTTCACACCGAAATGACCAGCTTCGATTGCTTCGTGGTATTGATGAAACACAGGGTCGATTAAAGAATCGGGAAGGTAAAATCTTGAAGATCCATCCTTTCTTAACCTGAATAGAATACCTTCTCGATATTCATATTCCTTTTTCATTCGTCCTAAATCTAATTCGTTTTTGATTAGTTTAACTCTTGAATCTTTTTCTTGTTCTCTTTTTAATTCGGACTCAGTTGATTGATTAACTTTGGGTTGTTTTATTACAGCCATTAGATTTCGACGTTGTTGGTAGTCGAGGTAGTCGAATTCTTGGACGAGACCTAAAAGGACCTTTTGGGTCTCGTCTTCGATGATTCTCATCTCCTCGAGAAGATCCATATCTTCTATTAAGACATCGTCTTTATCACAATTAACGTAGTTTAAATATCGATCGAAATGGTCATCTGCCATTTCACCTTTTTGACGATGAGCCCATTCATTTGAACGAGAGAAACAATCTGCAGGGTGATTTTCTCCCTTCAGATATTGAATCTCAAAATCGAATTCCGAGAGATCATGTTGCCATCTCATGATCCTTGGAACTTTGAATTGTGTTTTCTTTAATTCACATAACGCGTGATGATCAGTTTTTACGATGAATTTCTTGTGTCGCAGGTAATGAGCGAACTTTCTGCAAGCATGAACGACAGCAGCACATTCTTTCTCAGTCGTATGCCATTTATACATGTATTTTTGTAGTTTACAACCGAAGAAGTAAACAGGGTTCCATATTCCATCTTCGTCTTTTTGGGTTAATATACCACCAATTGCAACAGCAGAAGCGTCGACAAGCACTGCAGTTTCTCTTTCAGGATAGAAATGAGTTAAAAGACATTTTTCTGTTAATGATTCTTTGAGCTTTTTCCAGCTCTCTAAATGTTCGCCTTTTACTGAAAACGGAAGAACTTTGTATTTATTTTTGACTAATTCTTGTAGAGGTGCAGCGATTTTAGCATAATTTTCAATGAAACGAGAAAAGTAATTAAATAAACCAAGGTGCGATCTCACTTGATTTTGAGAAGTCGGAGGATCAAGGGCCTTGATCCTCTCGATCTTCTTTGGATCAGGTTTGATTGTCTTACCAGAGACCAAATGGCCTAAACAGACAATTTCCGTTGCTCCAGCTTGAAGCTTTTCGATACGATTTTTAAAACCAAAAATTTTTAGAGCTCCAATGACCTTTTTCATATTGTCACAGAGTTGATCAATCGATTTACCATAGATGACAATGTCATCGAAATAACCAAAGCAGCAAGTGTATTTGAGTTCTCCAAGAACTTTGTTGATTACCTCTTGAAAGTAAGAAGGTGCATCGGCCAGACCCATAGGTAGTCGCTTGTAACGGTAGCAACCATCTTCGGTCACGAAACTTGTTTTATCTCTTTCCTCTTCGGGAATTTCTAATTGATAGTAACCTTGAGCAAGATCTAATGTAGTGAAGTATTTGTTACCTTTGAGCTGATTAATAGCGTCATCGATATTGGGCATGGGGAATTTTCTTTTAGCAATTAATTTGTTGAGTTGAATGTAAGAGGTTACCATTCGCCAGGTACCATTTGGTTTAGGGACTACGAACGCTGGGGCTCCACCACCAACATCCGAATCTTCGACAATTCCATGCTCTTTAAATTCGTTGATTATTTTCCTCATTTCGTTCCTCATTTTCTCACTTGAACGAAAGGGTCGACACTTAGGAATCGCATTGTTACCAATGTCGATTTTAAATTTGGTGAATTCGGCCGGAACACAACCGAGGTCGAACTTGTTTGAGGAAAAAGATCCTTTTTCCTCTAACAAGACTTGATGAATTTGTTGTTTTTCAGCTTGACTAAGCTCTTTATTAATTTGTTGATACAATCTCTGATCGAGATTGTTGATTGTTTCAGGAAGATCAATTATCGTATCTTGAAACTCTTCAATTCTATTGATGAGTAAAGGTGAATCATCTTCGTAATGTTCACGGAAGAAGTTGATGTAATTAACACGCAATGTGTTAATTTGTAATAGTTTAGCTTTTGATTGTTGATTGATTGAATGATTAACTTTTTCACTTATCGATTGATGATCATTAAGTTTATTTTCACTATCACTCTGTTGATGAACTTGTGAATAATTTGTTGTTGAATGAGATGATGATTGATCTGGTGGATGAGTTTGAGGTCGGGTCCAAAGGTCCTTTTGACCCAACCTCACCAATTTACTCAGATCATAATTGGTGTTGTACCATGTTTGAAGCAGCAATTCAATTTCATTTAAATTAGGAATTTCAATTTTCAATTTATAAGCTTTATCGAGACTACCATGTCTCAATGAATAAGGCTTATTTAAACCATTGCGACAATTACCAAATGTGTCGCCTTGATGATGTTCTCACCAAGTAAAATATCGTTCGATAGACCATCTATCACATAGGCGGTTAAAAGCTTAGGTTCATCTCCATTGTAAACCTTTAACGGAACAAACCAATTACAGTTGATAATATTTTGATTAGCAGACTGGAACTTGAGGTTGTAGGGATACGCGAGCAAGTCCAACCTGACGGCAAGGTCCTTGCTTATCAGGGAGGTACATGCTCCGGTATCAAACATTCCCTCAATTTGGATGTTATTAATTTTAAAGGTGATCATTGGGTGACGGACTTTTTCCGAGGAACCATTTTTATTTTTATTAGCTATTAATCGCGTTGTATTAACGCTTCCATCACTAAGTTGCTCCTCAACTTCCACGTTGTTAGCCTTATTAGCGACAGAATTTTGGTCTCTTTTTGGTCTTTTATCGGGATACTTAGTCCAACAATCTTCTTCTGAATGAGTTGAGGACTTGCAGTGATTACATTTGGGTTTAGGATTAGATGATGATGAAGGTGAGGGTGAAGGTGATTTACCATTTGACCTCCAACCTGAATTTGAATTTTCTTGACCTTGTGAGGGTCGTAACCTTTTACTTTCCATTTTGGCTTTATTTCTTTGCCAATGACCAATCACTTTGGCCTTAATTGTTTCAATATCGAGATTGATAATCTCGGGAATTATTTCATTTTGAAGATAATAGGGTAAGGAAGATAACATTAAGAGGGCTAAGGTTTTACTTGAGGCCTCAGGATATACAATTTTCAGGAAGTTTCAATTTTCGGAAGTCTCTCGGATCGTAACGTGTATCATACCTTTCTGTACGGTGTTGTAGATCGCATCAGCTTTTTCACTTGATGTGATTGTTGAATTGATTAATTTTTCCTTCCACTCGTCGTATTGAATGAAGGGTGAAGATAAATTTAATTGTTCGGCAAATTCTCTTGCCTCATTTTCAAGAAGCACGGTCGTGTGCTCTATCCATGAGCCCTTTGAGGGGTCTAAGGTCCTTAGATCCCACTCCAAAGACTTGATAAAATCGGTAAACGATTGCTTCTCTTTGTTCGGCCATCGTTTCCTATCAATTCGTTTAAGGGCTTGTTGTTGAGCAAAACTCATTACCTTTTCTTTTTCTTGAAGGTTGAGCCTCTCTAGATTATTCAGCATGGTTGATTCCATCGCTGAATATTTATTAACCAACAATGTGGCTACTGTAGGGAGATCCAGATCCTCTTCGATCTGTTTCTTGGTATACGCTTTAAAACGCTCAATTTGGTAAATTTTATTTCTGATGAGGTTAGGAGCGACTCGAAATCAAGGCCAATTTTCCTTAACTCGATCCCGTCCATCCATTTCACTGGAAACTCTCGTTTAGAGTCGATTCCAAATTCAGGAGAAATTTCTTCTCCATCAAACATTTTCTGGATAACCTGGCTTCCCAGATTTCCTTTGCAGTTTATCATCGGATTTTGTGTTGGGTTATTTATACCCCACTCGATGGCAATGCCAATCAGTTCATTTCTGGTGATGTTTTCTTTTGATGATTTTGGATGAGTTGTCGGTGATTTTCTGTAGTTGTTTTCACTAAACATGATGAACCTTTTGGATATTTTATCCACTTTTCACTATTCACTTTACACAGTTATAGGTGTTACCACCGAAAACAATTGAAGGTTGAGTGTTAGGGAACAAGGACCTTGTTCCTCTAACACAACAGACTTAAAAGTGTCGGAATCGAAACAGAAGTTGAGCTTTTTGGGTAAACCGAAGCTCACTTATAGGTGTTTCTTTGAAGATTCTTGTAGGCCTAATGAAGAGAAACTTTCACTTTAGATCAGCAGAGGCATCTCCACCAATTTGATAAGTATATTTGCAAGCAAGCAACCCATACTAAGGGATCCTGAGAAACTAATACTAAAGTGAAGGTTTTACTTAACACTTTATTTAAATTGTTTTGTTGAGGTTAGTAATTAAACGGTAATTTGTGAATTAAGGTGGGGAAAAATAGAGGTTAACAGAGGTTGAACAACTTTAGAAAATGTAGAGAGAGTAATTAAACAATTGACTGATTAACAACAACTAACTTGAAGGACAATTGAATGGCTATTTATATCTTAATTGAGGGTTAACATTGAAGGTGATTTAACAATGGTCACGTGGGTAGATAAGGTAATGGGGGAAAGTTAATATATTACAAAGTGTGATGGCTAATACCCTTACACTGATTAATAAATTTTACTTAATAGATTCGTAAGACCCTTACGGTCGTCAATGTGACTGGGCAACCTCGAGTGTTGCCCTCAGCGGTCACATTTTTATTCAACCGCTTTGGAATACAGTCTTCTATAAATTCAGTCTTCTATAAATACAGTCTTCTAGAAATTCAGTCTCAAAAATTCAGTCTTCTAAAAATTCAGTTCTTTAACTTTTCATGGATCCGACTGAACAGAAAATACAGAGTAATAGGAAGGTTAGAAGATGAAGAATAAAATAAATAGATTAATCACCATAAACAGAGGAACCTTACTTAATTAAGAAATTAGACAGTTAAAACAGACAGTATACGAAAGAAAGAGAAAATTTTCAGCCTTTTTCGACCGCGAAATTTGAATTAGAAAAATCGAAATTGATCGATTTATTAGCGAAAATTGATCGGATCGATCGATCAACTGAAAATCTGAGATCGGAACAGCTCTAACAAGAAGAGAAAAGAAAACAGCTGATGAGTGTCACGTGATTTCTACAAAAAGATCTCTGAGTTTCTAGAAGATTTTGTTTTAGAAATTCAATCAACAACAATTTGTCTTAATTTCTTTCTTTTTTTAATTGTTCTTGTTAACTTTTGATTCTATTCTAATGTTCATCAGTGGTATTTAATTGATTCTCTGTTGAACGATTTTGAGATTGTTCTCCAAATCGGTTTTCTTTTTATTCTCTTTTAATTTGTTTGTGTCTACCAACGAGAAGATTTTTGGTGTTTTCTTTCTGTAATAAGAAACAATTGGAATAATTTTCTTCTCTTTTTCTCTCATCATGGTTAAATTAAGTGAATTATCTGATAAACAATTGGATCCCAGAGAATGTCAATATCGTTTAAATGGTAAAATTCGTAAAATTATATCAAAATGTTTGGATAAACAGGATGATCACGATGATTGTGATGTTGAAAATTCTCCGAATTCTGGTCATTAATGTCACTTCTAGAATCGCTCGACTTTATTTCATAGCCCAAATTCAATACCTTAAAATATCTCTTGTTCCGATAATGATTATCCTTTCACATGAATAAGTTACTCTTTGCATTAAACGGGTACAGACAAAGACAATTTCCATGAAAGTTTTCATCAATCTAATAATTGAATTGCTAAGCATTTCATCGGATGTGGAGAAAAATATTAATTGAGTTTGATTGGCATCATCACATATAAAGATACACATAATAAAGATTTAGCTTTGGATAAATTGAAAACAATTATGGACCAAGAGGAAGGAAATAAGCAAATGGTTTCTTATGATGATCTTACCGAGATACATAAATGTTTACAACATTTAGATTCAACATATCAACTGTTTTTCTATCAACTATTGGAGGAAACAAATACAATCATCCCAAAGAACAATAAAGCACCAGAATTAAAGGCTCGATTGGCTCGATTAAAGTGTGAAGCCGCAGCTAAAGAGTATAAAGCGATGACCGATGGTATTAACCTGGTACCTTCAAATTCAAAGCAAAATCAGGCCTCAGCTAATTCAATCAACGAAGTGAGACAAATTAAAACTCTAATCACCGCCTTAATCAATGGAGTTATGGTCGTTTTTTGTTCATTCTTTTTCGTTTACAAAGCGGTTGAATATTCACTTCCACAGCCTAACATCAATACCCAAATTCTGGTCGCTATTATTGTAATCGTTGATCTTTATTGCATAGCCCAACTTCAATACCTTAAGATATCTCTTGTTCCGCTAATGATTATCTTTTTTTACATGAATAAGTTAATGTTTTTATCAAACAGGTGCTGATATTCATTGACAAAGACAATTTCCATGAAAGTTCTCATCAATCTAATAATTGAATTGCTAAGCATTTCATCGGAAGCGGGGAAAAATATTAATTGAGTTTGATTGGCATCATCACTTGATTATTTTCATGTTAATTTTAATGTGAAATCAAATTGAAATGTTGCTATTGCTTTTCAATTGTTTAAGCAATATTGTTTATCCATAATTACCAATTCATCTGTCACTTTCTCCATGACAAATAGTTTCACATGATGGTTTTATAATGAATTCGTCATAATTTAATGTCAGTTTTGTTTAACTGTAAGTCGCATATAAGTTATTTGTTTCACGAAAAGTAATCGAAGGTTCCAAGTGTAATCATTAGAGATGAGATTAAATTTTCACACATGAATCACCTGTGAATATTTATTTTATATATAAACGAATCAGTTTCTGTACAGTATCAAAATATCATTTGCTTTTAATACGAAGAGTAGTATTTGAGAAAGTAAAAAATTAAAATGAAAGTTTTCATTGTGACTTGTTTCCTCTCTTGCGCTTTCATGGCCTCAGGTAAGCAAGAAAACTTTGGTGAGTTTTCAAGTTTAATCGATCGTACTAACTCTATGCTTTCTTGCAGCTTACCCACGATTCAGTGGCGGTTTCTATGGTGAATCTGAATTTGGGGCAGTTGACGGTGGATTTAGTAGTCTGACTGGTGGACCAGGATATTTTGATCTATATTCTGATGGCGCTTATGGTCAAAACTCATTTCACAATCAGCAACAATTGTTTCAAGAACAAGCCCGAGCTGATGCCTTAGCCGAAGCTCAAGCGAGAAGACAAGCTGAAGCCCAAGCTTTCACAGGTAGAGCTAAAACACTAGGAAAAGTTCAAACTAAAGCTTAATCAAGAATCAAGAATCAATTTAGTATCAAGACAAATTTAATTAATTGATTTTAATTTCACGATTATTTCGAAAAATCATTTTTCGAAAATGTCTTACAAGGTAAAAAAATGTACACGACTGACTAACTGAGTAAAAAACCCCTGAAACCTAACTGAAAATTTCAATAAACTGAGCTTCCAACATAAATTGACATTTCTCTTTTTGCCATCTATTCCACCATACAAAGTACACGTGTTCATCTTGGTTTGTAAGTATAATAACTCAATGACGCTGCATCGCGATGCAATCGAGAAATATGATTATAAGAAGTGTCCTGTCATTTTAACTATGTTATCTATTGAAATGGTTATCTGACTAGCTAGCAACTGTTATCTTCTCCTGATTATCATCAACTGCGTGCATGATTTAAAAAGGGTTGCAAACTCAAAGTCTTTGGTTGCATATGTGAACAGGAACTAAGATCCTTAATCATTATCAATGATACTGATAACATGATAATCTATGTGATTTTACATCTAATCATCTCCTTTTCACAGTTATCCTCATCTTCATGCATTCAATTAGACTCTCTCTCAAACTTGATTAATTAACTTCAATTGATAAAACATCAACAGACGTGCTATTAATTTTGTTTCGCGTTTTTAAAATGACTAATTGTCAATCAACGGTATTAACTGCTTTGTAAACGAAAAAGAATGAACAAAAAACGACCATAACTCCATTGATTAAGGCGGTGATTAGAGTTTTAATTTGTCTCACTTCGTTGATTGAATTAGCTGAGGCCTGATTTTGCTTTGAATTTGAAGGTACCAGGTTAATACCATCGGTCATCGCTTTATACTCTTTAGCTGCAGCTTCACACTTTAATCGAGCCAATCGAGCCTTCAATTCTGGTGCTTTATTGTTCTTTGGGATGATTGTATTTGTTTCCTCCAATAGTTGATAGAAAAACAGTTGATATGTTGAATCTAAATGTTGTAAACATTTATGTATCTCGGTAAGATCATCATAAGAAACCATTTGCTTATTTCCTTCCTCTTGGTCCATAATTGTTTTCAATTTATCCAAAGCTAAATCTTTATTATGTGTATCTTTATATGATGATGCCAATCAAACTCAATTAATATTTTTCTCCACATCCGATGAAATGCTTAGCAATTCAATTATTAGATTGATGAAAACTTTCATGGAAATTGTCTTTGTCTGTACCCGTTTAATGCAAAGAGTAACTTATTCATGTGAAAGGATAATCATTATCGGAACAAGAGATATTTTAAGGTATTGAATTTGGGCTATGAAATAAAGTCGAGCGATTCTAGAAGTGACATTAATGACCAGAATTCGGAGAATTTTCAACATCACAATCATCGTGATCATCCTGTTTATCCAAACATTTTGATATACAATATTTTGATATATGTAATTTTACGAATTTTACCATTTAAACGATATTGACATTCTCTGGGATCCAATTGTTTATCAGATAATTCACTTAATTTAACCATGATGAGAGAAAAAGAGAAGAAAATTATTCCAATTGTTTCTTATTACAGAAAGAAAACACCAAAAATCTTCTCGTTGGTATAAATTGATTGAATTAGCGTTGACCTGATTTCGATTTGAATTTGAAAGGACCAGGTGCATAACATCGGTCATGGAAGGTGCAGCAAGTCGAATCTTCAGAGGGAAAGAAGTTCGAGCTCACAAATACCCTTGGTTAGCATACATTCGGTGAGTTTTTCATTGCTCTCATTACATTTTCTTTGCCATGGTCATCAATAACAATGAATTAATCTTTTCAGATTATATTCCAAAAGCAGTTATAGACCATTCCCTCAATGTAGTGGTTCTTTGATCGATGAACGACATGTAATCACCGCTGCTAATTGTCTCGTCGGTAAGAATGGATTAGTCTTCGAACCCTCAGCTATTGATGTTTTCCTTGGTAGAGTCAAGTCTGTCTCGGAGAAAACTAAAGCCACTACCGTCTCAGAGATCTGGGTTGATCCGGACTTCAATCCACAAGATCTTTCCAACGATTTCGCAATCTTGACTCTTTCCGAGCCCGTTAACTTCACTCAGCAAATCGCACCGGTCTGTTTACCCAACAGCGAAAATGAATTGATAAAACTCACAGTTGCAGGGTGGGGAGCCACAACTTATTATTCTCCCTCAAGTGACAATCTTTTGGAAGTCGACGTTGATTACTTGACCCGTAAGTTGACAATAGTTAATCTTTGATCTGTAAAATAACGTTTTCTACCTTGAATGATTTTAGCTGACCAATGTAACGATATCAAGACTGATTACATAATGAACCAAAATGGTTTACCTCAATCTATGAAGGGCCGAATGCGAACTCCCAAGGTTCGTGATACTCTCATGTGTGCCATCAACAAGCAAACAAAGGGTGACACTTGTTCTGGTGATTCTGGTGGACCTCTTATGTTCAAAAATGCTACCGGTCTCAATTATCTTATGGGTGTTGTTTCTGGCTCATGGACAGAATGTGGTACAAGTGACGACACCGCTGGTCTTTACACTCGAGTCTTGCGCTATCAAGATACCATCAAAAGTATCGCTCCAAACGCTTGCTGGAAGGATTAACAGAGCGAATACATTATTTAGTCTTTTCCGATTGTATTGAGAATCACTTGGAAAATCTAACGTTAGCTAAATGTATTCCAAATGAGAGAAAGTAATAAACTTTCGGTATATTATTTATCCTGAGTGATTTCAAATTTATATCAACAATTTAGATTCGATCAATTACTAAGAATGATAACTGTATCAAAGTAGATACAACTAGAAAATCAAAAAGAAAGAGACACAGAATAGTTTCTCACAGTGAATCTTAAAGAAAGACAATCAGTGCATAATTATTACATTCATAATCATTGAAACAAGTGCAGTTTTGGGATATGTTTATATAGCCTCGAAAATTAAGATCGACTACACTCTTAAATGGAGATACACATAGAAGTGGTATCTTATCAATTTAGTAATGAATTTAAATTGAAAATAAATTGCGCATCTACATCTAAAAGTGTAGTCTATCTCAATTTTCGAGGCTGTATTATGTTATTACTCTTTGGGTACAAGTATATGAGATCACATGTTCCAACAGTTTTCTTAACATTGAACTTGATCGTTTGTATTTCTCTATTTTATCTCCAATCAAAATGTTTCTCTTGTTCGCCCATCTCAAAATCTGAACTTCGTAAGGCCATAATTCTGTACAATCTTCAAATGGATGCACGTCGAGCCAAACTAATGGAATAAATTGATGTTTGTTCACAGCATCATGACAATTTCACAGCCTTTTTCTTTTGCAATGAAAGACCAACTATTACAAATGGCGACAAAAACATTGATCTCGGTGAAAAACTCAACAAGAAGCTTCAAGTGTTAGAAGAATCCAAATAACTAATCCAAGTCTTGATTCCGCTCGTGGTCTTGAAAAAAAGGCTAAAATTGGCTTTGGATTGCTTGTTCTCGAAGTGTTGACCATTTGGACTCTTCTTCATTGATTTAAAATTACCAATGAGTGTATTTAATTTTCCTACATTAGGACTAATCACATGTAATCAAAATTTTCTCTATTAGAACTACCTCAAAATCCTATTAGTTTACTTTTCTTTACACCGCATAGACTTATCGGCAATCGTATAATCGTTTTTTGATTGACTTTCCTTTTTTAATTCACGAATTGATGGAACCAGAATTATTTAATTGTGACATAAAAATATAGATGACGGGATAGGGAATGATGATGACAGAATGGACAAAAATTCACACAACTAAGCGATATGAGATGTATCTTCCCGCAGTTTCACTGGGCCTGTTAATTTTGACAACCTAAAAGCACAAAGAAGATAAACAATTGGGTAAATATGGATTCACTTAAATGTTGACGGGAATAAGTTGTTATTACCTGTCCTCGTTTGAGTCCATAATAACGGGCGACTGGATCACTGGCTTGAATCCTCATAAGTTGATTTTCTTTCAGTTTGTAATTTGTCAAAAGCTCAGATTTCTCTTCGGGTGTCAAGACAACGTGCTCAGGTACCAACTGAAAAAAAAAGAAAACAAGAATTATGTTATTTTCGAGATGAAAGAGATATTTGAACCCTACAAAACATACTTCATGTTCAGTGATATTTATTAGTAATTCCGATTCCAAGAATTGTTCCAAGATATATTTAGGTGCCATGTCTGATAAAGCTTGTTTAGCACTTGGTGTCATTCCCATTTGGACAACAATAATTGCTCTGGAAATGTTTTCCTCTTGCATCCGTTGGCAATAATTTTTTACCGTCTTGATACCAATTTTAGGTTCATCGGGGAAAAATACGAACATTTGATCTATGCATGAAAATAAAGAGAACAAATTGAAAATTGTAACCAAAAAGATTGACAAATTATAGAAAACAATTCACTGGATACTTACCAGTAGGATCGTCATTGTGAGCAACCAGTACAATTAAATCACTTCTGGCTGGATGTCTTTCACTAAACACAAGCACAAAAGAAAATACAAATTAGAAATCAATTCACAAATAGAATAGAAAATAAAACATATTCTACCTTGGACGATCCCCGAATTGCTCTTTAAATTGCTCCAATGTTTGGTCAAGTTCGTCTTGAGTAACAAGATAACCTCTATCATGGCAAAGCTAAAAAAACAAAAGAAAGAATAAAACAAAAACAAAATGGAGGGATTAGAAAAGAACAAAATTAAATTGAATTGGAAAAACGAATGTTTCAATCTCGTTTACTTACCTGCATGATTGTTTTACGAATCCTCCATAGTTTATATGTATCAGCTTCGTCATCCATATCGAAATTAGATTAGTAATTAAAAATTAATCGACAAATAAACAGAAAACAATCAAGAAAGAGATGAGAATTGTTACCACGTTTGATACAAGAAGAGAAAAGAAAACAGCTGATGAGTGTCACGTGATTTCTACAAAAAGATCTCTGAGTTTCTAGAAGATTTTGTTTTAGAAATTCAATCAACAACAATTTGTCTTAATTTCTTTCTTTTTTTAATTGTTCTTGTTAACTTTTGATTCTATTCTAATGTTCATCAGTGGTATTTAATTGATTCTCTGTTGAACGATTTTGAGATTGTTCTCCAAATCGGTTTTCTTTTTATTCTCTTTTAATTTGTTTGTGTCTACCAACGAGAAGATTTTTGGTGTTTTCTTTCTGTAATAAGAAACAATTGGAATAATTTTCTTCTCTTTTTCTCTCATCATGGTTAAATTAAGTGAATTATCTGATAAACAATTGGATCCCAGAGAATGTCAATATCGTTTAAATGGTAAAATTCGTAAAATTATATCAAAATGTTTGGATAAACAGGATGATCACGATGATTGTGATGATGAAAATAAAGATTTAGCTTTGGATAAATTGAAAACAATTATGGACCAAGAGGAAGGAAATAAGCAAATGGTTTCTTATGATGATCTTACCGAGATACATAAATGTTTACAACATTTAGATTCAACATATCAACTGTTTTTCTATCAACTATTGGAGGAAACAAATACAATCATCCCAAAGAACAATAAAGCACCAGAATTGAAGGCTCGATTGGCTCGATTAAAGTGTGAAGCCGCAGCTAAAGAGTATAAAGCGATGACCGATGGTATTAACCTGGTACCTTCAAATTCAAAGCAAAATCAGGCCTCAGCTAATTCAATCAACGAAGTGAGACAAATTAAAACTCTAATCACCGCCTTAATCAATGGAGTTATGGTCGTTTTTTGTTCATTCTTTTTCGTTTACAAAGCGGTTGAATATTCACTTCCACAGCCTAACATCAATGTCCAAATTCTGGTCGCCATTATTGTCACTTCAATCATCGCCATTGCTGAACTTTACTTCTTCATCAGGGTTATGTGAATACACCCACGAATCTACCCAGAGAATTCCATACACTTAAATGTCTTCTAGTCTTTAATTCATGGAAATAATTGATTCGTTTTCCCGATGGATTTCATGATAGATTCATAAGATTGGACTTTCTTTCTCGTTCTTCTAAAGAAAGGAACAATTATAACTCTCACCATGATAAATTTTCCACCCTGATTCTTAAAATTCCATTTCAATGTTAATTTATTCAAGAAGAAAATTCTGAACCTGATTGTTCATAAATTCACTTTCTCCATGATTATTGTGATGGTTGTTTATTTGGACAAGCGATCTAATTGAATCACTAATTTTACCTCTTTAATCTTGGTTTCATTCACCTCACCATGAAATTATCATTTTCTTATGAATCAACTTAATCATCGCAAAGATTTTCCTTCAATCAATCAATCAAACAATTCAAGATGACTTACAATATTCAAGTAATGCAGCAAACAAACAAAAAACAAGAAGCCTCACCAATCATGTTGAAAAATTGTAAATCAAATCACAATTAACTTGATGATAATAATGATGTATCATCATTTAAATTTCATCTAATCAATATTAATCTTATTATTATTATATTCATTCATTGCCCTATCAGTTTAAAGTATTACATGTAATAATAATAATACAATTGAACATTGATGATCAGCTAATCATGAATGAATATTTCCAATTGATTAGTGTTAATTGTTCAATTTTAACTTAATTATTCATGGGAGTGCAAATTAAATCTATCCGGTTGAAAAGTTATTTACACAAAATTAATCGACAATCAAACTTAATCACAATTAACCTTAACCTTTACAACTTTCTCTTAACTCATCAATCAACCTAATCAATTGATTTCTCATCAATTGACCTTAATTACTACGAGAAAAAAAAAATTAAACAAGTTAATCAATTCATAAATGAAATATTCAAACAACAATTAAGTCAAAAGAAATTAAATTTCTGAATAAATTATTTAATTAAAAGTTTATTAAAAGGCTTTGAGATTGTAAACATTTCTCATTTTGAACAATTAACTTGAATGGATGACAATTAACTGTTTAAAATCAGTAACAATGAACTACTCAAACTGTGATTTATCAATTGTGATCTTAATTGTTGGACAATGTTTAGTTAATTGTTTCGCTAATCACTGGTACTTTCCGTTAGATGGCAAACAATTAAATGTTGATCAATCAAATGCTCTGGTAAGTAAACTGATTAATTCAATTAATCCTTTCTAATCATTTCGGAAAATCAGCAATTAACTAAATTATTTACCCAATTGATTAACCAATTGTTAACTTATTAGATTATTCAATTAGTTTTCAACAATTAAATCAATCTATTCCCATATCAAGTTATAATAAAAAAAAAGTTTATACATGTAAATGTAATTTAAGTTAATTGTTTGTGTATAAATCAATTTGTAAATCCTAATTTTCCGCAATTTATCAACAATTTAACAATTAAATTAGATGTCGTTATTAACATTAACGATATTGATCTACAATTTAGCTATAACAATTAGATTAAGATTATCAATACAATATGATTAACTAAATTGTTGACTTTCTGTTTGTTTTTGTTAAATCATTTCCTCAATTTGTTAAATTGCCTTAATTGTAATCAATTTAGATTCAATCAGAACCTGTTCATATAACTCATTTGTGGCATCATCATCGTCATGATCATTATCATCATCATCATCACAATCATCGTCATAAAAATAATCACAAGGTAAATTAATTAACAATTAACTAATTTGCAAATTGTGAAAAGCGAAACTTTTTACAATCTAATCAAACAATTAGAATCAAATTAATTGATAAATTGATTCGGCCAAAAAGTAAAGCCTCATAATTAAAGTTTACTTTGAAGATTAAATTGTAAACAATTAACTAATTGTTACTAATTAACTTTTCTAGCACAATCACGATCATAAACATGGCCACCAACACCGACACCGATCAAAAAGTTTACACAAACATTTACACAAATGTAAGTTTAACAATTAGAAATACAATTAATTAATTCAGTAGTTAATTAATTAGTTAATTGAAAAGGTAAAGATGAAAAAGAGTAAATAATTAAAGATGAACAATTTAACAATTGCAAGATTTAAACGTCTACCTGATGATCAATTCACTTAATCAACTTGACACAAGGTTAACAATTGATTAACTGTAAAAATCGTGATTAAATCATCTTCTTTAATCATTGTAATCGTTAACAATGATTTATCAACCATATTGTCTATCAGTTGATTAACTATTATCAACAATTAACTTAATTGTTTGAGACAAGAAACATTCTCATTCTTTTAACAATCAATTTTTCGTTAATTTTTCAGCTTCTCATCGACATAAACATTTACACCGGTCAAAAGTACTGACCAAAAGCCGTCACGATCATCGACATAATCATCGGCATAAGGGAGATACTAATTATCATCATATTCACTCCTATCATCAAGTTAATCATGACAATCAGAAATTAAATCATCACCGCAAGGAGCAATTTAAATTATCATCAACACTGGACAGTGACGATAAAGATTTTCAATTGGATTCATTTTGGTGATTAAATTAACAACTTTCAAAAGACAAACAATTAACTCTAATTATAATTATAAATGAAAGTTGTAGTTGTTGTGATATTTTCCACCTACAATTTAAATCCAGTTATCATTACGATTAACTTTGATTGGTAAAGCAAATTATTGTCTCTAAAACTGTTAATTATCTTGATTGTTGGTGATGATGTTGATGATGATGATTAAAAGTGATTTAAAAAGCTAATAAGGTGAATATAAATCTTTACCTGAATTAATATAATTTAAAACCAACAATTTGATTTATCATTATATTTAATTCTTGTGTGTATATTAATATATATATATTATTATTTAAAGTGTCAGATTAAATTGGCAGCGTGTTTACAAATCTTAATCACTAATCAGTAGTCAGGCTGATTACGGATTAAGAAACTAAATTTAAAATTCAATCATCACCAACAATTTAAAAGGATCACATTAATTTAAATGACAATTTTTGTGGAGAAACTAAAACTTTATCATCAATTTGACAGTTTAAACTTGATTGTTGTTACTGATTATGATTAAGGAGCCATTAATTGTGGTTGTGATTAACGGTAAAAGTGGTTAAGTGATTTAACAATTAAGGTGGTAAAAGGTTTTCACTTGCTTGTGGTATCATTATTTTGGAAACTTAATCAACTAATACAATCGATGATTAAATTGTTTCAAGTGCGACCAAAGTTAATCGTTGATTTGGAAATAGTTTTCTAATTGTACTTTTGATTTTTTTTTTCATGTTCGAGATATTTATCGAGTTCTAATGAGCCAGTGAGTTCGAGAAAAGTTTTCTTCTTTTGAAACAATGATTCGAGTTCAAAAGCCTTACTTTTAATTGTACTTTAGTTATTAATTATTATCAGAAAAGTTAATCATAGGCTTGGCTTGTAATCTATGATTTTGGATTGAACAATTAAATGTAATTATCGAAACCAAATTTTATCATTAAACCAAAAAAACTTGATCATTTGGTTAGATATTAATTGTTGGTGATCCTGTGGTTTGTTGTTGTTGATTGTTGCGGATTATTTATCAACAAAAAAATGTAAATGGAGGTACAAGATTGTTTATCATATTGATTTTTGTGGATCCACAACAATTAGTTTTGATTGTTGTGAGATTTAAATTGTAAATTGGAAAAGTTTTGCTTCTTTGTTTACAATTTTATTTTATTTTCTAATTTAGTTTTGCAAATTCAATGAGAATCTGTATTAACTGTTATAAGAGCAATTGCTTTTCTGCATACTAACTAATCAATGGATTTTAAATGATCAGCATCAGTTTCCGGGAAAGATGATGATATATTTAAACAGGAAATTGGGGAAAGACAGAGAGATTGAGGATGATGATGATGACAAAGGAGGACAGAGGGAAATGTCAAAGAGGAAAATAAAGGTAGACATACATAACACACTCGCCGTGTAATATTTAGACAGATGTAAGAGGGGAAGAGATGATAATGATGAGAAGAGAAATAGACAGAGAGCTAGACAGGGGTGCAAAAGATAAAGAGAGAGAGAGAGAGGAAAATCCACCGAGGGAGAGAAAGAGAGAGAGAGAGAGAGATGCATACATATGATGGATAATAACATCAATGGTTTGTGAATGGAAAAGCAAAGGTAAGTTTGTATTAGAATGGAAACTTAAAGAGAAGGGGAAAAAAGGTAAATAGGGAGAGAAAGAGGAAAAGTGGGAGAGTGGGAATATAAGAAGATGAAGAGAGGGAGAGATAATGAAGGAGAGAGAGAGAGAGAGAGAGAAAATGATTTTAGTATCAACCCAAAAAGAGGTTGGTCCAGGTAGAAATGTTGTTGATCTGAGCAACCGATGATTTTAGTTTGGAATCAACTTTGATCCAGTAAACTTTAATGTATTGTTATTTACCTGAATTCATGGTGTTTTTCATGATGCCTGATGATAATGTTTCAAAGTGTTTATCATAATAGTGAATTTTTTTTGTGTCTTGATTGTTGATTGAAAAAAAAAACTTTGAAATAATTATGACAATCAACTACTCTAAACAAAACAATTTAACTTGAAAACAACAACAATAATTGAAATACAATTTAAAATTTTGCAAAGTGACCTACAAACTGAATCAACAATCAGCCAAGTGATTAAATTGATTGGGAATTTACAATTGTTACAATTTGATATTAGTTTTATTATCTATCATATATATTATAAATATCCAGTTAATTGTGTTTCTTAATTAATAAACAACATTTCATCATCGATATCCAATTGATCATCGTAAAGGAAAACCTAAAATTTAATTGTTTACCAATTTTTTTTCTCAATGTTCAATGTGTTTTAAATCAACATTATATTACAATTTAATTAATTACTGTTTGGCTTTGCCATGGTGGTGATGACAATTGGGATTAATTGTTATTACAATTGTTTCAATAATCTATTATCATTATCAACAGAATCTTCATCATCAATATTATCGTTAATCACCAAAGATAATCCTGGATTATTATTATTACTCAAATTATTGTTTCTTTTACTTTTATTAGTTTTATTTGATTATCGGTTTAATTGTTACACTAATTTGTGGATTAATCAATTTACTGTTGATCAGATTAACTGAAACTCAAATCGGATAATTAATAATAATTTATACTCATTCGAGAAATAATTTCCTGTGAATATTGTGATTCCTAAATTATATTCATCTATTGACAATGTCCAGTGGTAAAACTTTACTTGACCATTCAAGTGTCTCTACCAATGGTAAGTTAATCAACGGAACTTCCGGTTCAGTGAACGGATATGGTGACCTAGAGGATTATATTATTGAACTACAAAGTCGATCACAACAATCACAACAACAACAACAACAACATCAACAACAACAGAAACAATTAAATACTCAATCATCAACATCGTCGACAATGTTAAGTGAAAAGATGAATTTAAAAAGTTCATCTTTAATGGACAGTTCAGACTCGAACCTTGAAAATCTTGACCCAACGGAATTACTTTTACAATTAGCCCAAAAGGAGAAAGATCTAATTCTGGCCGCCGAACTTGGTAAAGCCTTATTAGAACGTAATGAACAATTAACTCGAGCCAATGAAAGGATAACCGAAGAGTATTCTCATAAACTTGAGGTAAATTAACTAAATTAACTAAATTTGACCAACAATCAATCTCTAATTATCTCAATCAATTGTTGTCACAACCGAAATGATTTCAATTTTTAAAATGATTCAATTCAATGATATCATGAGTATTGGTGTGTATGTGCATATCAATTGATTAATATTTACCTTGGCCATTGAATTGAATTGATTACAACAATTAGATTGTTAATCAAAGTTTACAACAATTTATGATTAAACTACAATTAATATACACAATCAGAATTGAGATGGAAAAGTTTTGTCAATATTAAATTAACCTTGGACTTGAAATATTGAATGAATTTTTTTTTTACTCTTTACCAATTCAACAATCAAAACTAATTACTAATTGTTGTAATCATCATGATAATAATTATGATAATTAAATGAACCATTTGATTATTATTATTAAATTATATTGATTCAACTGAATTGGTTAAAATCAAGAATGAAAAAACCCTATGGGGTTTATTACAATTGAGCTTCATGAATAAAGTTATTCTGGTTACCATGAAGACCTTTGAATATTGAGGATATCCTTAATTATGATGATGATTAACTGATTGTTACCAATGAATTAAATAATCTTAACCTAGCAATTAGTATTACAACTAAAAGTCAACAATTTAAATGTCAAATTTGTTTGATGATTACAAATGATTGACGTTAATAGTAACTTTCCCTTTTCCATTCACAATTTGGTTGAGACTTTTTTTTTGTTTTTCTCAATGAATTTTCATCATTGATTTTTTAACATCTCAGGACATTGTCCTATCAACAGCACAACTTGTACTAACCATTGGTGTGTCCCTTTGTGTTCAGTCAACTGTCCCACCCTGTAGACACAGTATAACAATGGGAAAATGTTAGACACACACACAGGTACCACAATCGACAAGCCATTGATCAATATGTTCAGAAGTTTACACTAGGCCAGTTAAGCGTTAATCCAACTAAAGTTAGAATTTTGTTTTCGCATTTGAGAAAAAGTCACTTAGAACTTTTATTTTTTTTCTTATTCTTTTTTTTTCAACTTCTAATGACAATTTACAACAATTATCGTCATTATATACCAACACTGATTGTCATCTTCTTCTCATGAAATGGTTCAGCTAATTTGGAGATTAGAATTTGAGAAAAGTAAGATTATATAAGAAACTTATTGTATCTGTAACTTGGATCATCATCATCATCATATTCATTATTGTTTGATTGTTAATGATGATTAAAAATCATGATGATGCAAGAGAAACAATCAAATGAACTGAATCAATTGATAACGAAAAAGAAAAACAAAAAAAGTGATATTAAAACAAATCAATGATACTATCAATTAAATCGTAATTATATTATTCTTATACTTCCTAGTTAGATGAACTTTCAATTTCTCATCAACATTCACAATCGATGATCAGTTTTCCCTCCGGTGAATCTTATTACTATTATTTGGATATAATATTTTCCACTCAGAGGAAAATATCATAATCGATAATTGTAATTGTAATTATCTCTCTCTCTGTTTTTGTGTTTAGTTGTTTTCCAGGTAAAATCACCAAGGTGACCAAGGTGAACTGAGCCCACCGCCTCCATTTTGTTTCTCATGTGTCACTCCTACTAACTTTCCACCCTCCATCCCCACTCCTGCTTTCACCTCGCTTGGTTGATTAGTAAATGGTAATGACAAAAAACACATAACAATTAACAACAACAACAAGTAAAATCTTAAATTGTTGTTAATTTAAGTGAAACAATTAGAAACTTTCACCCAATCAATGTAAACAAAATAGTAACAATCAAGACAATTGGTAACATTTTTTGGATATCAATTGCTTACCCTTGATTGTCACAATTAATCAACGTTTTTTTTTATTGTTGTTGATATATTTCACTTTCATTTGATTCATTTATATAATATATACATGTATTTGAAGCCATAGTTTAAAGACTTGATTGTTGATTAACAATTAATACTTTTCGAGGCCAATTGATTAACAAGATTATCCTTGATTGTTGATCCTTAAATCATGTCTCTCCTTTTCCTTCAAGATTGTAATTACTTTAATTTTAACTCTGTAATTTTCTTGTTCCCTTTTTAAGTATACAAATTGTCATCATTATCATGACAATTAAACTTGATGATGATTCTGATTGTCTTGACAATCAACAAAATCTAAATCACGTTGTAACCTTTTCTTATACATTTACCTTTTTGACCTTAACTTATCACCAAAATCTGCACTTTAATTATCTTGTAAGTGTATGTCCATCATTGGTCAATCTCTTATTGTGTAAACATGACACTTTTAATTATAACCTTAATTACACCTTGATTACAATTAACTGATGAAATTCAATTCTTTTTGCAATCAAAAAACCTCAAGATTCAACGAAAAGGTAAAAAAAAACTGGAAAAAAAATTTTTCCACCTTGAAAAAGATTGGATGATTTTCTCTAACAATGTTTTTCCTTGAACAATAATCATAAATGGTAATACAAACTGACCATTGTCCAGTTTACAATAATCATGAGTATGAGTCATATAATTAACGTAAGAAAAAAAAATCAACCTGATCCATGGGATTCATAGTAACAGTTCAGGTTCATTGGGAACTTGAGTCATGTTTTGTTCATTGATTCCCCTGAGTTGAGTTGCAAACAGTTTGAATTTTGAAAGTTTTCAACTGATTGTCACTGATTAACCTTGATTCAAGTGACAGTGTTGGTGAAAACAATTTAAATTGTTTACTTGAAACACCTAAATGTATCATGTTGTTAACACTTACGTTATCTTAACGTACTCAGGATATTGAATTTCTGAACTTTCATCATGAAAGTTAAACAGGAACAATCAAAGTGACATTTAACTGAAAACAACTTTTACTATTGATTAATTTGTGAATACTAATCATTCAGCTATCAGATAATGATTGTAGATATTATCATGTTATGGATCAATGAATGTAAGTTTCAAACTGATCATCATTATCATCATAATCATCATGATCATTAATCTCTAAATCGTTGACTTTTTTCTCAATCAAGATCATGAAAAGTTAGTAAACAGAAAAAAAAGAGAATCGAAAAAATTTTTAGATAAATTTCAATTCTCATCATAATCATGATCAATTTTGAAGTTAATTCAATCTCCTTAACGACAGATTCAAGTTCAATGATGATCAGTAATCATTTGAAATGATTAAGATTCATAATCGTCATTAGTTGATTATCATTATCATGGAATAATGATTAATTCCTAAGGAAGATACAAGGTGAAAAATGAAGGAAAAAGTTTACAACCTGAGAACTTAATTTACTTTTTCTCAGAATAGAATTCAGAGAATTGAAATAAGAGAAAGAAAAAAAAAGTTCTGAACTATTCATGATGATTCATTTTCCCATGATTACTTTGTGGCTTCTGTTGAACAAACTTGTTAATCGTCATTAGCACAACATTAACAAAGATAATCAAACATGTCCAATAGATGATTAGGATTATATGTTATTAGTAAACTGACCACTCAGCTGACCCTTTCATTGATGAAACAGATTATCAATATGATTTATGTGAGAAACTCAGATTATCTCCGGAAGTTTGAACATACAGAAAGTAAAAGAAAATTAGTTTTTCTTTCTAATCGTTGGTTAACTGGTTAGTAAATTAAATCACAACGTGACCATAATTAACATGAAAACCTATTGTCACTCTTGTTGGGTCACTTTGTTTACATTCAGAGCTTGACCTTACTCCTATTTGTTAATTCAGTAGTCTCATTATCATCACAATTAGTTTCCTCTTCATCATCTTGCCACTTTTTCATTTAACTTTGAGCTTTTTTCTGGTTAATTGTTACCAAAAAAAAAACTGTCTAAATCAGGTTAACATGTAAGGACTTAATTAAACCAGAATCATATCATTATCATCACAACAATTATCTTAATTGTTATCACTCAGACTATTATTATCTTTGAGGATGATATCATTTTCCGGTTCAGTTTTTTTCTTCTTCTTCTTCTTGTCATCATGATGACCAATGGCTCTTTTGTAACCATAGAAACTGGTTAAAATTTTCGAATCAGTAACAAAAAAGTTCTAATGTTCAAAATTCATCGAATATTGTTGATTCGAAATACGAATTTTACTTTCACTCCCTCCCTCTCTCTCTCTCTCTCTCTCTCTCTCTCTTCTTTCTATTATCTTTTCTGTGTCATCACTATGATAATGATAATCATCTTCGTCTTAATCAACTTGATCATCTTAATTGTTTGATATTTAAACCAATTGTTATTCTAGATTGTGATAAAACAATTGACTTGAACAGAGTAACAATTGTAAGTCAGGAAGTGATTCAATTGATTCCTATTCATCTATTCAGCTTTTAATTGTCTTCATCATCTTCATGATAATTATGATGATTAAACTTGTTAACAATGTTACTATTACCTTTTAATCATAATAATAATACAATCGTGAGGTTGATTAAAATTAAGTTAATCAACAAAGAGGATTAAACAAAATGATTCATAATTTTTGAGAGATTCATCAAGTTTTAAGCAATCGAAATACAATTAACTTTAATCCAGTTTATCATCTTTGATTGTTTACATTTACTTTTTCCTTCCTTTATAACAATATGATCACAATTAACTATTATTATTTTCTCATTTGACAATTTGAATGATCTTATTTTAATTGTCTATATCTCTTTCATTGGCAATTAAGTTAATCAAAAGTAAATCACAAAACTTTTTTTTTTCGTTTTCTTTTCGAAGACGAATTTGTAAAAACCTCAGAACAATTTAGAACTTATTTTAATTATATTGTATTGTATCATTAGATTATCACAATTAGCACAAGAAGAGACGATTTAATTGTAGATTCAATCGATCGTCTTTAACAACCAACAATTAAATCTAATTGTAAATGATCAAAGTATTGCTTTTTACAATTGTGAACATTTTGTTGATGTTTTTTCAATACAACTCGAACT